TAGTAACAAGTGCCTTACTAGTAGTAACAAGAAGCTATTAGAAACAATACCAGTGTCTTTCATGTCATCTTGGGCTGGTGCTCCATGGCTCCGCTGTGGCCTCAAGAGGTGGAAAGATTGAGCGATGCACAGCATCTGGTCATCCACCAGGTGTTGGACTGCTAAATTCAAACATCAAAACACCGAGAAGGTTTACTTTGGTGGTTTCCAGTGGCGTGAAAACATTTATATACTAAACCAGGGCTTTCCTGCTGCTTTCGGAGCTGCTTATATTGAAACTTTCAGATTGTCGTTCGACAAACAAGGTAGACAAATAGGGGGTACAGAAATACTTCTGGAGATCCTAGCTGACCCATGAAAGAAATTCAGAATGTCGATGCACAACACGTTAAGGATGATTAGAACTGACACAACCGGTCGGTGACTGAGCAAGTAGCGTGTTCTCTTGTGTACAAAAGTTTGGATTAATTGGCAATCGCTTAGCACGACGTCCGAGTGAAACTGAAGTGTGATCAAGTGCTCTTGTTGCCGCTGACATCAGTTGGCTTGAATCTGGATCTTCCGCTAGACTGCACCGACACACTTCCCCTCAATATCCTTTCAACAAATGCATGGAGCTTTGTGCCGTGCAGATTGTGAGACTGCCTGCATCAATCGATACTACTTAGGTCGGGTGGTAGATTTGGTTTGGCATCTTTCCTTCTTGAGGATATTGACACGTTCCGCGACAGTACTTCAACAACACCATACAACACCCGAGCTTTGCCTTTTACAACATCTGCAGAAGACGTGTCGTCGCTCTCAGCTTCATCTTTGCAGCTGCTCTGCTCATGCAGTTTGGATTTCAATGGACGAGGATGGGGGTGGGTGCCTTGCAAGCACAACGCCTAGCTGCCCAACTATAGGATCATGTCGACACGGGAAATTTCGAGGACATGCTGGAGGTGGCTGCCTAGCAATTGCCTTGGAAGGTCTTGACGAACCTTTCACAAGCCTGTGCTTGCAGCTAGTCCACACCTGCCAAGTCCATGAGGCTGTACAATGAATTCAAGTTGGCACGGTGAAGTTTCCGTGCGGCAAGTGCTGAACCATCACACCACTTGGACCAGTTCAGGAAGTATTAGAGTTTGCATAGATAATTGCATGGATCAAGCACACTTGCCAGGCTTTTGCGAGAATAATCTTGTCTTCTGAGATGCAAGTTCATGCCAGACAAGGCAGTTCTGTACATTTTGAGACGATAATGTTGCCAATTCCTTAGGAGCCAAAGCGCTCCATTTTCATGTCAGGAAGAAACCAGCTTTCAGCTTTGGCTTCCTGTGAAAGTGTCTGCGAATGCGAGCTCATGAAGTCCATGCCACATCAAGAGTATGATTAAACTGTTAAACACGCGTGAGAGCTTGTGTCACCTGGGAATCAGGAACAATTGACACTCACAAATACACAGAAGGCTGCACTGCCTCTCTGTGATAAGGACAGATTCGCCAATCGCAGATTTAAGAACAGCACAAAAGGCCATGCCCACACGTTGCTTGTCAAATTTTCCAAGATCCGTTTTGCCAAGCGCAACAAAAGCCTTGCGAACACACGCTACCCCATCTTGAAACACAAACATAAGTTTACTCCCAGCTTTCTTCAAACACATCGATTTCCGGCAAGCACCAGTAAATGTTTGACTCCATCTCATGTTCCAAAGCCATCAGCCATTACGACTCGGGGAGTATCCTGCAAGCACCAGCAAATCAAATGATTTCCAGCAAGAAACTATTTGGTTTCTGAAGGACACCAAAAGCAACCCGCTGTGGAGCACTGTCCCTTCGCTTCACAGCGATTGTTTGCTTGTACTTGTACCCATGATGTCTGTTGTAAATAGGCTTTCTAGAATGACAGTCTTGAAGGACTATTGCTTTGTTATTTTCATTGTTTTCAAGATCTTTTCAACTGTTCTAACTAGTTCTAACGTTGCGACCAGCCAACGGGCCCTACCAGCTGCCAGCTCTAGACTCTAGGAAGACCAAACAACTGAAGGCCAAAGAAACAGTTGGAAGTTGGAATACATGGTAAAACATTGGATTGCAAGCAGTAGGACCTAGGAGGATTGGCTAGAACAGGGCAAGTCATCAGGCTGCCTGGTTGATGAAGGTGTCCCAGCAAACTTCAATTGCCGGGGTACTCCTTAGGTACACAAGTGTCGGTATGCTTCACACTCTGCATTCTGTGATATTCTGTGATAGCATTGAGGTTGAAAGCCTCCAACATCAAATCCACATGCCTTTGCGGTGTCTTGACATTGGTGGACACTGTCTTTCAGCGAATGAACTTAAAGACTTTACGTCAGGCCGCTGCGTCCGTAGCCGTGCATTCCTGGTGCCAACATCAACAAAGAAAAGACCAATATGCAATGCTGGCAATGCTATAGCTGCTATTCTCCACATCTTCTTGTTGAGAAAAGGACGCTCCTAGGGGCTACTAGGACGAACCCTATAGCTGCTATTCTCCACATCTTCTTGTTGAGAAAAGGACATAGATGGAAGAGACAGTTTGACACCAAAGTAGGTTGAGTTCTCAAAGGCTCTAAGCAGCTGTATTCAAGCACCTCTAGCACTTCGAGCAGGTTCGAGCATTGTTGCAAAAGGCCAAAAACCACATCAGTTCTGCCCGGCCTGTTTAATGGCACTTCATGGCGCAGGTCATCCTGCATGCGAACTCGCAATCGAAGCCCAAAGGATGCATGGCGCAAAGTACCTCTTCTTTGGCACTGTCCATTGCCATCCCCGCCTCAACCAAGCAAGGCTCTGCCTCACGAGGTTTCAAAGCAAACACCATATCAATGTAAAGCTCAATCAAGACTTTAATTCTGATTTTGACTTTGTTGGTCTGGCACATCACTTCAGCTTTCCAGCATCGCAGCTCCAAAGTTTCATTGTTTTGAGCAGGGCAGCTTCAATGCCGTTGAGCGCAGTGCATGGCAGCACGAGGCAGAAACACATAGCTTTGTAGCGACGAATAAAAAATGGATCTACATGGCATTATCGTTTCCAGATGGGTGGCTTGATTCCATGCACTTTGGACGCATGCTCGCGTAGTGTTGAGCAGACTGCACTGTTGTGTCGCGTCGCTGAGCAGACTGCACTGTTGTGGATGTCTTCATTTCAACAGTGTTGAGCAGGGCAGCGTCCGTCAGCTGTGTACCAGTTATGTTGTCGACTCTTCTGACAAGAGCGCACTGATGTGAGATGGAGCAGAAAACTGCCTAGCTCCACATTTTGTTGCTTCTCTTCGTTTCTCAGCAACGCCAGCTGAGCAAAACATTTGGTATCTGGCCAACCAGCACACAACTGGTACCGTTCAGCCAAAAATGGAACGATGTTCCTTTTAAACTGAAAATCAGTGGCTTCAGTGCAGTGATAGCTGGATTCGAACCAAAATGCAATTGTTCTGCAAGAGAAAACTCTCATGGAACTGGTGCCGCTGAGCTAGAACATGTTTTTGCAGGTTGGTCCGTATTTTTTTGCCTGGATGCGCACATGAGACTTCTGGTCAGCGTCACAAAGAATGTACAATTAGCCAAATCCGCAAGGACCCCGCGAGAACCAACATTTATGTAAATCACAAACTCTCACTGTTCAAGGTCAGAAAACTACCATTTACAGGCCTCGTCTTACTCTCGTTTGATCACTAGGATCACTGAGTGCTGCAGAATGGCCGGTCGCAGTCGAACATGCAGGCAACCAAAGATGCTGAGAAGGGAACGCAAGCCTCAATTGCTATCACAGCTTCTCCCTCAGCTTTTCCTTACCTTGATTGCTCAGTGGGCCCCTTTTAACAGAGACAAAACCTTGGCCATCAAACAGTCAAATAGGCTTCAGGTTTCTAATTGCTCATGGCTCATTCATGACTTCTCATTGGTCCAATTTTGACAAGAGACGTGCCAATGTTCTTCTTCCAAAGGGCTTGCGAGTGTCGCCAGTTGAGCAGTCAAGCTCCTGCTGCCCGATCAGAACCAAGGAATGCTTGATGTTACCTGCCCTGTGCAGTCCTTTGTCAAATGTGGCAAATGGACACATGTGACACTAGTAGTTCTCTCGTAACTCCTTCTAAGAATCGGTAGTTGAACAATCTTGTACACACATTCTGGCAACAGTCCAGGGGCTATTGCCCACAAACCTCACCTGGACCTTCTCGATGCAGCTCACAGTGACTTGTGCGCTGAAGTGCACCCGCCTAAGTACCACCCAAATCTCGGCTCAACAAAGCATGATTCTGAGACAGACCAGACCTGGTGGATCTTCCATATGTGTATGTCTATAGTTTTAAATACATATACAATACATATACGTATATATACACATACAGTGTATATACATATACTGCACACTGTGTACATACATACATACATACATACGTACATACATACATACATACATACACAACATAACATAACATAACATAACACTACACTACACTACACTACATCACAGTACAGTACATACATTACATACATACATACATACATACATACATACATTACATTACATTACATTACATTACATTACATTACATTACATTACATTACATTACATACATACATACATACATTACATACATTACATTACATTACATTACATTACATTACATACATTACATTACATTACATTACATTACATTACATTACATTACATTACATTACAT